AGTTGCTCTCAAGACACCTAAATATGATAAGGCAGAACAATAAAAAATTGTATCTTTAGGAACAAAATGTTTTATTCATCAACATTATCAAAAACAGCATCGTCATAATTATCATCAGCATCATCATTATCGTTTTCATTGTCATCTATCACTTTGGAGTCTTCCATCACAACTGATGTCGCCTTTTCCCAAGAATCGTAAACTCTACAGGATTGCTCAATCCCATAAGACATGCGTTCATAAAAAAATCGAAGATGGAGGAATGTGAATGACGTTACGCAGTCCTTGCATTTTCAAACGTGAAATTTTTTTATTTTGAGGTTATTTCCTTTGAAAACTGTGTTTTTTTAGTAGATTATACCACGAGTCAATAAGGATAGCTATAATAGCTATAATTAATTAATAATTAATCCCGAGGAATATTTACGAACTGTGCCGCGTTAGTGGCGAGGGAGTAACATTCCGAGGGAATAATAGCCATTATTGCGAGTAGTATACTCTACTTTATTTACGACAATTTAATTTATCTCAGATTTTCAATGAACAAATTTCATCCATCTCAATTCTCAATACAAATCCACAAGCACTATACACGTGTGGCACTGACATTTTTGAGGAATAATAACCATTAATCCCGCTACTCGTAATTATTCCCTGGCGGAATAACATACCGGGTGCCCACGAGATTACTTTCCGGCTGCCATTTTTTTATTTGTTCATTGATATTAACGAAACTTGGTAGGGTTGATATTCTAACCAAACGCCATTTTTATGCATCTATGACAAGTTTTCCTGACTTCCGGTTGCACCGGAAATGACCGCAACTTTTGATTTTTAAATGGCACACCCTGTATATTTTTCGTTTTTCGGATTCTACAGATCGTTTTACGTCCCAATGCACTACTTTTGAATCGAATTTTGAAAAAAATTTGTTTTCAAATTAAATTTTATTTTTTTAACTAGAGTGCCATGATCATCTCAAAATGACTCTACATACTTTACTTAATTTCAGAAAAATACAAACTCAATTTTATCTTTGTAAACTTTCTTGATAGAGGGCTGTAAACTTCATTATTTTAGTATTTTTGCCCTAGCTCAAAAACTAGAATAGAAACATATCACTTTCATAACAGTATTAAATGCAGTATTTTAAAGCGAATCCAACGATATAATACACTACAACATTTTTCTTAATTTTCGTTCAAATATTTTTGTTTTATTATGTACGTAATTTTATTTTTTTTCTACTTAAAATTTAATTTCAAAACGAAATTTGGACAAAACTCGATTTGAAAGTGGTACATTAGGTCGTAGAACGATCTGTAGAATCCAAAAAACAAAAAATATACAGGGTGTGCCATTTGAAAATTAAAAGTTTCGGTCATTTCCAGTGAAACCGGAAGTGAGAAAAACTTGTCATAGATGCATAAAAATGGCGTTTCGTCAGAATATCAAGCCTACCAAGTTTCGTTGATATCGATAAACAAATAAAAAAATGGCAGCTGGAAAGTGATCTCGTGGGCACCCGGTATATAATTATACTGCCAAATTACAAGTATAATACTTACATTATACATTAGTCATGAATAAAATTTATTTATTAATTTTAAAATTAGCAGACTTCAAAAGTGTGTGTGCTTGAGGCTTGAGTGGTTGGCTAATAAGAAATACGAGTTTGTTTGCTTCTGCTTATCAGCAAGGTAATTTCAAACCTAGAATACCACCAAATATTGCCAAAAAGTAAAAAAAAGACAGGGGCTGGAGTCAAGCTGGCCCCCGGATTTGTTTATGTATGGAAATGAGCACAATTCGCATAAATACCGGCACAATTGAGCACAAAACGGGCACAATTGACTACAGTTGAGAAACAGTAGAAAACCAAATGTAGGGTGCCAACTTGAACGAGCCGGTTTAATTTTTGCATTTCAATATCAAAATATAAACGAAACGTGGTTGCAATAGTGTGTTTTATTTTTTATGTCATACCAGTACATTATTGTGTTTTTATACCTTAGATACCATCTATATAATTCATTACTTTATGCCCGTGCGGGCATAAAGTACACATTATGGCCCGCGCGGGCATAAAGTACACATTATGGCCCGCGCAGGCATGACATAAAAGTTTGTATGCACCACGGGTACTAATAGATATATACCCTCGGGCAACTTACGAACCCTCGGGCCAGAGGCCCTCGGCTTTGTAAGACTGTCGCCCTCGGGGCATAATCATCTACTTAGTACCCTTGATACATAAATAACTATTATGTCATACCAATACATTATTGTGTTTTTATACCTTAGATACCATCTACATAATTCATTACTTTATGCCCGTGCGGGCATAAAGTACACATTATGGCCCGCGCGGGCATAAAGTACACATTATGGCCCGCGCGGGCATAAAGACGCAAAAAAAAATTTTCAATTAACTTATTCTTTATTAACAAAATATAAATTTACGCATATAAACATATTATTTTTGTCAAAAAATGATGATGTTTGCACACTGATGACAATTTGCGAAGTGACACTTTTTTCCCAGATATTTATTATTCACAACCAACTGGTATGACATAAAAGTTTGTATGCACCACGGGTACTAATAGATATATATACCCTCGGGCGACTTACGAACCTTCGGGCCAGAGGCCCTCGGCTTTGTAAGACTGTCGCCCTCAGGGCATAATCATCTACTTAGTACCCTTGATACATAAATAACTATTACTGACCCTACCTACTTCTCAATTATTATTCAATAGGTACTAAAACGATTTCATATGGACATTCAAAGTAAGCTTATTTCACAACAAGGCCAAATAGTGATACCTCATTTAGATTTTCATAATCATATTCCAGGAAAACACTGCAAATTTCCCATATTTTCCATGCGTTTTCATAGTAAACGCGCCAGCAATGGAATTTATTTACATATTTATTTATTCACTCTTCACAAACACTAATTTTTAGTAATTACATGCAAAGGAAACTTACAACTAAGTAGACATTTTATTTACAAAAAAAAAACAATACAAATGCTTGACTAGAAAATACTTACTAACAGTAGAAAACTAAGCAATACACACGAATAAAAGAAAGCGATGTCCTGATACAACAAATCCAGTATTACAAAACCACTAAAATCAGAAAATGTTTGGGGTTTCCGCGATTATTTTTAGCCATGAGTCTTTTATGCTTACACACATTAAATGGAACTTTAAATTACACTTATAACACTTGATAAATTTCGAATTCACGATAAAATAATTGTCAGCACACAATCAACTATCATTCGTATCGGCGGCCATCTTGAAAATCAGGAATGCACGTGACGTCACAGCAATTGTGAACAAATTTAGCCGATTGAGCAATCCTGTCGAGTTTACGATTCTTGACCTTTTCCATTATCATCATCATTATTGCCGTCATCCAAATCTGATAAATGGCTAAAATCTTCGTTTTTATTAATTTCTTCTTCACTTTCATCCTCATCAGGAAACCCTATATGTGTGATAGGCATTGAAAAGAAATTATAACTTGTACCATGTGAGATTTCAAACATTTGTACATAAGCGCAGTAATTTTGCCTTTTGATAGGTATTCAGTTGTTTTGATAGTAACTCTACTCAATTAAGTTGGCAGACAAACGGGAGAAAATTGCAATTTAACAACCATATGTGCAACTTATGTAACTTATTGCGGTTTCTGCCATATTGAAAATATGCATATTCTCATAACTACATTTCACTTAACCAAATGGCAGACGGGTTAAAAACGTTCATCATATAAACAATTTTTGTCGCAATTTTGTTCATTGTTTGTTAGGACTTGTACCAGTCTGCAATTTCTGCCAGTCAAAACTTAAGCTTTTGGTAGCAACTTATTCAATATAAATTAATGGCAGACGGGAAATAAATGATCTCAAATTTGAAAAATTTTGACATTTTGAAAAATTAAAAATAAATATCTGTACCACTTCAATTTTTCTGCCGGTGCAAAGGTACATTACTTATCTAAAATCCAGTGTAACAAAACATGTTTTAGGCGGGAGAAAATTGTTTCAACATCTCAGCATTTTGACACAACTTCAAAAATTGTTAAATATTATTATACCAACCGAGATTTTCTGCCATTTCCTTATTGATCTCTAACTCGTAAATGCAACATAAATTTAATTTGGCAGACGGGAGGTCGTTGATCCACATGTCCGATTTTGGCGACATTTTGAAATTAGTTATATGATACTTTATACTAACCTAGGGTTTCTCTCGTTTAGCTTCCTTCTACTTATTTTTGTTTAAATTCCCTTCACAATGTGTGGCAGACGGGATAATATTGATCCAAATCTCCACTTTTCATTACATTTTCAAATTAGCATCATTGTATTGTCACACTGGAGGCTCTTTGAAAATTTCAGCCATTCCACTTTTTATTGCCTAAAGAATAACCACCCTTAATGGCAGACGGGAGAAAATCGTTTCAAAAAAATGGTCGTTATGCACCGGTCTACTAGTACCTAATTACTGCATACGTTCAAAGAATAAATTATATATGTATTGACGCTATGACACCATTCTCTTTCTGTAATAAAATGTAAATAAAATTGTTCCTTTTTTTTTAATGGAAAATTAATCGTGATAATATAGCTTACGGTTTAAAAGTTACTCACTCAACAAAACTATAAGTATTGTCCGTCGTTTTTAATCTGACACTTTCCGTATGAGGAGCGAGGGGGTGAGGCATATGGCACTCACACCTGTCAGGTGACTATTGGCGTTCTATTGTGAGGAGCCACCAGCTCACATTTTTTGGAGTATCAGGATTGAAATCGACGGACTTTACCTACTTTACTGCCGATATCCCTATATATTTTTGACCGCGGTACTTTTTCTTCTACCCTTCTTTCCACACAATTTCTTTCTAAAATTGGTGCGGCCGAAGGTTTATCAACGGAACTGATCGAAACTAACTTAGCGTGTCACTTATGCATTTCAGCTTACCGTACTAATCCATCAGCTGTTTGCGAAATTCTAACATTATTTATTATCCAATTTTCAGTACCATCTTCTGTATACCAATAATTGGTATTGGCCAGTTGGCTGACAGCTTCGTTAACCAGCGAACCAGTGGTTGGTGATGTAGTTTGTTCCAGATACGAAGCATTTCTAAAAAAAAAAAAAAAATAATTTAAGAAAGCAATCCCAGAACTATTGCTTCTTTGCATACTCGTAAAGTACGTTCAAAGTAAAATCATGCTGCGACAGATCGTTGAAAGTATCTGTTGTGGTCCTGGTTCCAGCTGAATCCACAAGGTACACCAAAGCGCACTGCATGCTGCTAAAGCTGACTCCTTTGTACCACATTTTGGCAAATCTAGAAGAGTTCATATTTAAATTCTAGGTCATTTTGACTCGGACTTTTCCACACTTTTTTCATGGTTCATATAATAATGGTAAATCTTACTTATCGTTCCCGAAACTATCATTAGCCATTATCTCGACCCTGGATCCGTACTGGTAGACTCTTCCATTTGGGTGAATCAATGCAGTAGAGGCTCCACTGGAACTTAAGGCTAAGACTATTCCGTTTCGGCCATTGGAAACTCGTACTGCTCGGTCTGGAGATATGTCCACTCGGATACGCTCGTTTAGTCTTATCGATATGACTCCCTGGGGAGAAATGACAGTACCGGACGACTGATATTGTTCCTCTCCTGAGTAATCCTAGGAAAAAACTCATGAATCTTTAATTGGGATTATTATCTAGATCAAATATGAGAAAAAGTTGGAATAAACTAACAACTTTTACCAAGGAGAAAATTCTTACGTTTTTAGAATCCTGACCAAAATAATTTTTCACTGCGATAGGTTTGGGCACATAAGGGGGCCAGCAAGTGGGTCCATCCACCTCACCCTCATCCTCTGGAGGCACTTCGGCAATAACGTTTGCGGTGGTGAAGACACTCCGACTCCTTGGACGGTAACCATCGTTGCGTCCAGGTTCGTATTTATTTATCCTGGTTGTACTTTTACCTGAAACAAAAATTGGATAAGTAGTATGATGTTTAAAATGACTTATTTTAAAAATTGGGACAATTTTGTTAGCTCTTTTTCTCTCACAAAGAAAACCGACGAAGCATTCTGTATGATGTACTCTTGGGTGAATAAAAACCTGGAAGAACTTTCCCGGGGCTTTAATATGTTTTTAAAATGGCAAGTATGATGAATGCCTCATCGGACGAAAGTCTCAGGAAGCGACGATGCATCTGAACTCCTCTGACTAGGAACTATAGGAAAGGAGATCGCGAAAAAGTGCATTCTACATTGACCACATGACGTCACACGTCATATCATCAATCAAAATCCATTCTTATGTGCATTTTTTTTTACAAAAACATATAATAGTGTGTTGGTTTCTCAGACGAACATCGAACACGAAGGAGCCCTTGAGGTGAACTTAACCCTGAGTAGGAATCTAGGAGATTCTCATCGCATATTGAAAAATACCTATATGAGTAATTGGCTGAAACATGCTTCATTTGACAAATAACTATGTCTACCGTCTCCAATTAAAAACAACGCAAAAAAAAACGACGATCTGAAAGCCTCCATAAATAGAAACTATAGGTGGGAACCTAGAGGAGCTTCTCAGTACGCACACACCAAAAAGACTGAAAAAAGAAACGACAGAAAATAACTTTTGAGTACATACCTTTGCGAAGGAACATTTTCTCTGGTGTCTTATTCATTAGAAGGATTTAATCAATAGAAAAAAAATGTTTATTACATAAAAATAATTACTGTTTTACTGAGACATAGATACGCTTTGACTATGGCGTGAGAATTATCAAACAAACAACTGAATTAAAAATTAAAAGGACATGCACTTCGCCTACTTACTTGGTTTTGTTTCCAAGGGACCAAGGAATGTTCAGAAAAAAAAACAAATCTTATACAGGAACCTGTTTTTTCCGCCAATTAGGGAGTCCAAAGCACGTGACTTTGCCAACCTGGCGGCATTTTGAAACTTTTATGAGGTTAGAATACGGTTTTTTACATGTCAACGATGTCAGAAAAGTGTCAGATTTCCTTATGTCAGCAAAGAGTGAGTTCAGAAAATAGCTCCAAGAGTAATTTTTAACAGTTTTCGATTTCAATTTGAAGCATTTCCAATTTAATAGCGTTCCTGGTCCTGGTTGATATAAAAATTACGGATTTTTTTACTGCGGGCATGCTGGGTCCCGATTTCAATGAAGTCACTGATTTAAGCCCGGGACACATCTATCATACATTCTTCCGATCCTACTCCGATCATACAATCAGCGTCCTTATTCTTGGAACAGGGAGCAGCGTTCCCAGGAGAACGAGTATTCCGCTGCTCCCCTGTTCCAAGAATAAGGACCTTGATTGTATGATAGGAGTCGGATCGGAAGAATGCATGATAGATGTGTCCCGGCCTTTAAACGAATGCCCAAATAGGGGAGGGTGGGCCACCATGAGACTCGTTTACCATGAGACAGTCGCCATTATTTTTTATTCTATCGCAAAGGGTAAACTATCATTCAATCGACTCAAAACTCGTTGTTAAAGTAACACTTTATTTGAAGTAGTGAAATCGAACAATTTTTACCCACTCATTTGTCAATTTTACCCACTCATACGTCAATTTTACCCACTTGTTCAAATCTTTTAAAATAATTATAGTGTTTTTGACAAAAATCTGTTGTGTTGCATGATTGACAACACCAGAAATGTGTCAGTTTGTTAGGTACGTTGGGTACTTTGTCAACTTGTCATAATCTATGTAAAATTTTAGCACATTTTATTTTAGTTTATGATTTCAGTAATTGTGATAAATGAAAAGTTGCTCAAGAATAAAATAGAATATTACACATGACGGTAAAAAAGCTTTACTTGTTCGTGGAATTAATCCACTCGCTCCTTCGTCGCTCGTGAATCAACATTTTCCACTCACAGGTAAAGCATCTTTTTACCGTCTTGTATAATAAATAACTATTAATGACGCGGGCTATTTATCTTCATTTCACAGTACATCAAGTATTAAACATATTAGTCTTATTTCTGTTGCCAGAGAAGCTGTACGTGCGCTCCCGAATTTTTTGCAGGTTTCGATTTGTTTTCGCGATAGTGAAATTTCTTTTGCAGTAAGTTCAGTACCTCATCAGTCGTTCCCAATATATTTTTATTTGGTTCTGAGGTTTCCAACACACAATTTTATTGTTTATGTATACTACGAGTCGATTTTTTCAGGTTTTACAAAAATATTGCGGTTTGTAACTCAGACCTACCATGGGCTACAATGAGACACGAAGTTTGGGCCACCTTGAGACGTGTCTCAAATATTGAAAAAAAGTTTTTTGTTCAAGGCACGGGGACGCAGAAGAGAATCTCAAAAAGGCCTGCTTAGTGCCGGAACAATGAAAAGAGCTGTCGAAGATGTGATTAATCATAAATTAAGCATTTGAGGAATGCAGCTGAGAAAAACAAAGTGAAACATCAAACATTTGCAAGATATCTTAAAAAAACAGAAAATAATGAAGGAAAGTTATCTTACCGCCCTAGTTACGATGTATTATTTTTGAATAAACCTTATTTTTCTCCTTGTTTTTTGGTTTTTATGTATGTCTCAAAGTGGCCCACTTCAGGGGTAGCCCCTGAAGTGGGCCACTTTGAGACAAAATCAGATTTTTTTTAATTCCTCCATAAAATAAAATAAATAATATTGTGTTAATAATTTTATCAAAAAATGTGTGCAATTAGATGAAAGATTATGAGGCTTACGTAACTCTAGCGAAAAAATTGAAATTACCTACCAATTTTATCCCCAAAAAAGTGAAAACTGTCTCAACGTGGCCCACCCTCCCCTACCTCACTTTTGGTTGGTTTGGTTTGTTTATAATGGGGCCGTCCCGCTAAATTGAAATGAATGTTTCTAATGTAAGACAAGTTCTTATTGTTCTTACATACCGTTTAATATAAAGGCTGTTTTTTTTTTAAAGATAATTCCCCAAGTCATAATCTTAAAAAAAAAGACAAACTTTACTTCTTGAAATTATTATGCATTGAAACACAACACTGAACTGGCAGGTTTCAATGTCATTAAACTTCCCTTAATTGGTAGATTTCTAGTTCGACAAGGGGCCCATAGCAATTTGGAAGAAGAAGATTTCTAGTTCTGACGACAGATTGAAGACTATAATCTGTGATAACACTAGCTCTGTTTCTGCAGAAATCACAGACCAGTCAGAGCGAATTTCATTAGTTGAAAACAGTCAGAAAAACTAGTTTCAACCAATGAAATTCGCTCTGACTGGTTTGTGATTTCTGCAGAAACAGATCTACTATTAGTCAGAGTCATGTGACGTCACTTTTCGCGTGCGTTTTGAATATTCTCGTTTTTATTCTATGCTCGTTTTATCGGCCAATGGGGTAGTATACAAGTGATTTTTAAGTACTACGTAGTGATATACTCGACGTATCGTACTATTTAGTGTAATCAGTTGCTTTGTAAAAACCGCAGTAGTCTGGAATTTTATTTTTTTAATTTTCTCTTAGCCCCGCCCCTACGTGAAAATAAAAGTTCGTGACGTAGTAAGTTTTTCCAATCACATAATTTGCACTGACATTGGCCGTCAAGAACGAAATATCAAATTTACTACATCAAACAACGTAAACAAGTCTGTGACAATGTCACATGTCAGACGATTCACACGACACCACACGTTGATTTCAGCTGTCATTTTGAGGCATTTTGAGCAGCGTTGCCAGATGGTCAGCGGCTTGAATACTATTGGTCGCCGCTGTGGCGCTAAATTAAAATTACAGTTTGTTTTTCTCTGACTAATTCTATAGGCACTATGCTGGAAAATAATTTAGTATCCCACTATACCATCACCATTTAGCCTATAGAATAACGTCGAGCATAGTATACTACCCCATTCAATTTTTTTTCTCTAATTGAATAACGAATGGTCGCTCAAATTATTGTTACATACATTTTATATTGTATTCAGGCATTTTAAAAACCCAATAAAAAAGAAAGGCGGGACGGCCCCATTCTGTATGTAATATAAGTATGATAGTATTTAAAAATTTTCGTATTCGTTTCAAAACAGGGTTCTCATCATTCAAGCATGAACTCTTTTCCTTTTCCACCAAAAAGAATTAAATGCATCCCTTCATAATAAAATCGACGACGAAACTAAGACCAATGCCAACCCAAACTAACTCGAACTAACCCCAACTAACCCGAACTAACCCAAAAAGGTTAAGGGCCGAATTTATAGTTGTTCCTTGGCTCTTCCTTGAAGGTCGTGAGTTTAGAATGGACATTTGCTATTATTTGGCAAGTTAGTCATGGCAATTCTAAACGTTCAAGGCTTCCTTGAGGTCTGAGGAAACCTCAAGGAGCGACTATAAATTTAGCCCTAAATAGTATAGTGACTTGTCGCCGAAAAATAGCTTGATACTTCGGTTTTTGAGTAAAAGCAAATCCTTTTAATAAGTGAAAGAACATGTCAGAATTAGTAGATTTTTGAACAGACCCATCTCAAAAAGTCATGCCGACCCCGCTCCACCCCCTTCAAATTTGATAAGTGGATTCCCCTCGTTTTTATTCTCATCGGTGACTTCACCGATGAGTTAGCTATCTTTGTTTAGTGAATGGAAAATGACAATGACGGCCTTAGAATGGTGGATCCATTGGTAAAATTTGATGAGAATAAAAACGCAGGGATTGTTTTAGTTTTTATTGTTTTTCTCAAAAACGGTAAGAGATAGAAACCTCATTCTGGAGCCATTCGATAGAGCAGAAAATTCTGCATAATGACTAAGACCTCATTTTTGTTTATGTTTTCAAGGTAAGGCCCCGCAAGAGCAAAAATGTGGTGGGGGGTGATCACAAAGACACGTGTTGATCAATATCATTAAAACCGCTTGAAAATAAAAAAAAATAGAAGATACAAAAAATTAAGAATAAAGTTTTCTCTATCGATTCATACAGTGTGCGCCATAGAGTTGGGTACATATGGGAAAATTCTTAATTATTCCTTTTTTGAAAAAACTTTTTTTGGGGATCGTTAGGGCATGTTTGATAACCAAAAAATCGATTATGTCACATGTCATGTTATTTTTCTGATGAACAGAAAATGTGCAAAAAGGGACATGGGTACAGTTATAGCGACACGACCGGACGGTATTTTCTAATTTATGACCTTCAAGTATGTATTTCGCAAAGCAATCGATTCGTTTGATATCAAACTTATGTAGGTAGTTTAGTAGAATAAAGCTATTTTTGGAATAAAATTAATATTTTCGATTTTCCATTTAATGGTACGGGTAAAATAAGTAGTTTTATTTTTTTTCTCTGATTTGCTTCAAAATTGACAAGTGGAGTTCTTTTTCGATTCTGAACAACTTTTTCTTATAAAATTTTTTGATATCTTGCCAAATTTACCCGTTTTTCGACAATATCAACTTTTTTCAAAATTCCCGCTAAACCGATATTCACATGACATGTGTCATAATCGATTTTTTGGTTATCGAACATGCATAAACGATCCCCAAAAAAAATTTTTTGATGAAAGGAATATTTAAGAATTTTCCCATATGTACCCAACTTTATGGCGCACACTATATACAGGGTGTATATTTTAAGTGATACCACTATGGCTATATCCGAAACAGTAAGAGCTACAAGGTCGGTTAAATTAGAAAAAAGTTGCCGTTTTTGATACTCATTCAAGACTTGTTTACAGTGTTGCCAAAGTCCTTTTAGTTTATGAAATACAGGGCGATTTATAAAAAAGGCCTAAAATTATTTCATCAATTATTTTGAAAACTATTGATATTCGAGACACAATTTAAATTTGA